GCCTCCCAGAGTGCTAGGATTACAGGCGTGAGCCACCGCGCCAGCCCACGAATATCCTTCTGATCAACCTTAAATTGCTGCTTTCTGAGAGTAATCCCTGAAGGAAGCTTCTTCTATCAAACATACAAAGACACAAAAAAGCATGATCTGAACAAAGATACAGCTCATCCACTCACTTTGCCCTTGGTCCCCATTTTCCTCTGGGAAACTTGCGAAGAAGCCTTCTACTTCCACCCAGGGTGCTCCTCGTCCTGTCCTGGGCTGTCTTTGAATAAATACCATTCCTGCTGTCTGATTCTCCAATCACTGTTTCTCCTTTCTCGTTGCTCTGCCCACCTCTTACCAGGTCATTTGTGCTATCAGGTTTCAGCTGCAAACCCCTTTGCTCCCAGCCAGCTCCAAGATTTTTTCATTCTTTTTTTCTCTTTTATTGCAAAATATAAAATAATAGAGAAAAAAGTACATTAAACATATAAGTATGGGTTAATAAATAATTATAAAGTAAAGGACACTTCCATTGCCCCAGAATTCCCCTTTTTAACCTTACCCATCTTTCTTCTTCGTGATCTTGATAATCATGTCCTTGGATATTTCATGGGTTTACTACCTAATTATGCTTCTTTACCCAATAGCTTGGTTTTCTCCATTAAAAGCTTTATATAAATGGAATCCCCATAGTATATGTATTCTTTCATGTCTATTTTCCTCCTCTCCACTCATGTTTGTGAGATCCATTCACATTACCTGTAGCTGCAGCTTGTTTATTTTCATTACCGTAGAATATTCCACTGTATGAGTTGACCATCATTTATTCATCCGTTTTCATTTCTGCTTTACTTTTTGCTTATAATGAATCAGCGGTTGCATGACAATTCTTTTCATGTACCTGGTTCCATGGGTGCTTGAGTTCCCTTAGGGAAAATTTGGGACGGATTTTCAGCTAGTACATACTATTAAGGTGATGACAGCTCTCAAAATAATGAAATAGTTTTGTTCAGCTTGGTGAAAAGTCACTGCTCCAAACCTCCAAGTTCCCCTCCGACTCCGTTGCAGCCCTGGGGAGCCCTGTTTAGTCACTGCTAGGAGCTACTGTAATTGTCCCTCCTGGTAAGTGAGCCCATCAACCAGTCCCCTGTGGTTCTGGGTCTCTGTCATTCATCCTGAACAGAGCAGTCCCTGGAACCCCAGGGGACAGATATCTAGTGCCCATCTGACCTCCTAGGGCCTGTGATCTCCTGGCGTCACATTTGCATGGCCATTTGTGAGAATGTCCCTAACTCTTTGTTAAATATTTTGACTAGGAGTGGAATTGCCTCATCCCCAACCCTGGTAGACCAGGTCGAACAGCTTTCCAAGGCGGCTTTCCCTACCAGCACGAGAGACTTCATTTTTCCGTATCCTCACCCATGCTCGGAATTACCAGGCTTTAAAAATTTTGATAACCTAGTGGTACGTAAGGATATCTAATTGTGTTTTTAATTTGTATTTCTCTGATTATTAATAAGCACCAATGTCGTACTGGAGGCAGCTCGTACTGATTTTTGGTGTACTTATGCTATTAATTACTGAGAGATGTTTAAAAAGCATTATTGCAATTACTCTGATTTAATCATTACCGATTGTATACAGGTATGAAAACATCACATGAACCTCAGAAACATCTACAATTATTAGGTATCAATTAAAAATAAAAAGAAATAATAAATCATTATTATAAATTTGTTAATTTCTGATAGTACTTCTCTTACCTTTT